TCCCTAAGTACTCTCTTGGCATAAGCATAGATAGTTAACAATTAGTGGGAATGGACACTCCACAAGCACGAGCAACCTTCTTGGCGTTGGGAGATTTAACATACCCTCCTAAGCTTGGGTCTTTGAGGTACTGGCAAAAGCAAGGCTGCTGTTGCTTTAAATTAGTGCAGCACTCTACAGAAGGTGGAGTACCGGACACGATGGCAGATGCGCAAGGTTGCAGTTCACTAATAACACATCCTTCTGCTGCGAAAAAAAGTGGCTCGGCTACAGCTAGTACGAGAACAACGTACAGTGCGATACCTGATGTCTTCATCTTTAAAAGGAAGAGATTGTCGGAGATGCTTGATGCATTGCTGGGGCTTGGTCTCAATTTATAGAGGAGAAAAAGCCTAAACATTTAAATTAGAATGTTAATAAGCCAAAGTTTGGCTGCCAACCCTCCCACTCCCTAAACCCTAAACTAGACTGTTTAAAGACTTCTAGAATGCTAATGCTTTCGTTTAAAACGTCTCTAAAATTGAAAGGAAACATTTTGGAAACTCAAAAAAATGTTTTTTTAATTAGATTTTTAATAAAATTAAGCAACTTTGAAAAAAACTCTCTGGAATACCTTTCAAAAAGTCCACCATAATATTTTAAAAAATTATGATTAAGAATTACACTGTGGGTTTTCAATTAAAAATTAACAGAATTATATTTTTCTAAGTAAAAGTTAACTTAATTTCAGGAATAACTTTAATAATACTTATTAACTGGCAATTTGAGATTAAATTATGTTAATATAATTTTTCAAAATTTTTCTATTGATCCAACTGTTTGCCTAAGTTTTAATTATCTTTAATTCATATCCATTAGAAAAATTAATTGTATTATTTACACGTTATTTTTGTTAATAACTTTGAAACTGTGAAAAATGATATTCACTCATATGAAATTGAAAATAAAAATAAATGTTTAATAGATTATTCAACTAAATAGCAATTGTAACTTCTTGAATATCATTGCTAAGGAACCTCGGTTTAATGCAAGGCCAAAATGCGAGTTATTTTTTATTTTTATTATATTAGTTAGACTAATGTACTATTCTTTTCCTAGAAAGATGCCAACTAAATATCGATTCCAAGGAACCTTGACACTACTTTGTTAAAACAATTTTTTATTTGGTTAAACATCCTTTTATACTAGTGATCTTAAATAAATATTTATTTGTCAGGAGAATTTAATTTAATTTTTCTGTTTTTTTTTTCCTGTTTTCGTTCTCCTTTCTTTTATTGTTTGTCATCATCATCTTCGTCGTCTCCTCCTCCTCCTCCAAAGAAATAGAGGTGATGAACTAAAATTCCTTTAAATGTATATTTCAAACGATAGGTAACATATTTTTAACAGTTTCATCGAAACTCACCCCTCCCCCAAATAAACCAAAATTTTAGGATTTAAAAATTATGAAAATTCGGATGTGAAGGGGTTATAGTTTGGGAACCCAGGCGAAAATTTTCTTGAGCTTAACAATAAATGTAAAGTAACTCATATTTAGCATATCTTTATCTTATACTTGTCTAGAGTTGGTTAAATCGGATTTGTTTAATCCTCACTCCGTAAAAGATCATTTCCAAATTACCCATGAAGTTTAAGACCGATGTTCAATTACCTTGCTTGTGATTTTTAGGTCGGCCTCTTTGTTAAAAATTTACCAATTGCACTTGTATCTAACTGTTGTAGTTTGATCCAAATCTAGTGATTATTGTGCTTTTTTGTTAAAGTGGTCTTAAAGAACTCAAAATTATGAATTGGAAAGAAAAATCGCCGCATTTTTGCTACGAACATTAGGAGCAGAGACTTGTTGTCTGCCTGTCACCGACCTCCCACTCATGTTAAAGGACAATCGCTCGCTTGGCACTAGATGTCGCTCAAGCGACAACACCGTCAAGGATTTTCTCTTTATGTCAGTTTCACGCGTATTTTGATCCAGTTTCCATTTTTTGGTTACTTCTGGTGATTTGACAGATTACTTCTAGGGATTTGACATGTCCTCTATAAAAAATAGACTCTTCATTTACTTTAAGAATTGTTGAGATTACTGTAACAATATTATTTTCTCCATTGATTGTCATATAAAATACTTCGTACCTCTGCCAATCTATATCTTACTCCGTTTCATAACAAGTGGTATCAGAGCTATTCTGGTAACTTGTTTATTTCTAACAATTGTATCAGAGCAAAGTTGTTATTTTGTTTGAGATTTCCTGTTATCGATGACAGCCCTGAAATATAAAATTTCGCTTTTGGATTGTAATACTAGATTTTCGTTGTGGCAAGTGAAGGTGCTAATTGTATTGGTACAGAAGGATTTGGATGATGCATTGTTTGGATTTGACAGGATGCCCACAATTTAGACAACAGAGGAGGATTGATGGAACGATTGGAATGCACTTTCACAGATTTATCTTCATCTCTCTAACAATATTCTTAAGGATGTTTTAAAAGAGAAGACAAAAGCTTTGTTGTGGTTGAAGCTGGTGCAATTATGCATGACTAAAAGTCCGACGAGTAAATTGCATCTGAAGCAAAGGTTGTATTCTCATCGCATGGTATAAGGGTGGATCTTTGGAATTATCTGGCTGTGTTACAACAATTATTGAATCTGTCATATGTTTTTCCCCATTCTTAAATATTTTAAATTCAACATAATTGTTAGGAAAATGTGTAATTGGCAATCTGTGACCAAAGGACCTATTTGTCAAAATTGTAAAGTCAAGGACTAAATTGTACAGGTCAAATAGTTCAGGGACTAAAGTTGCAATTTTGTAAAGGTCATAGTATAGGTCTAGGGTAAAGTGGGATGCTTTGAAGATGCAAACGGCGCGTTGATGTCGCTGGAGTTTCGCCCTGACCTCGCTAGAGCCAAAATTGCAGAACTGACCTCGCTGGAGTTTCGCTGGTCTATCGCCTGAGCGAAGGTACGTCGCTCGAGTTTCGCCAGGACCTCGCTCGAGCGATTGTGTTATCTGGCCTTTGGTAATTTTAATGCCTCGCGAATTTTTAACGCTCTATATTACCAAATTCGACCTACTATATAAACAAAACGACTGATTTTCATTAAAAACCTTTGGCAAACATCAAAACAACAATTCCTCTCAACTTCCAAAGGATCAAGAGCCAAAATAAATTCATGCTTTTCATCTTTGATTTTCATGGTTCTTTGAATAAAAAGATCAACCTTCACAAAACCAAAACACCCTTTCATATCTCCATATAAACTTCTAGAAGATCATCTGTTTGAAGATCCGGGAAGGAAATTGCTTGAAGAGCTGGAGTGTTTGGTGATTCACAGGAGGTAGAAGATATTCAAAGTTGGGATTTTGGCGCAGATCTGCAAAATCCAGGATAGCTGTGGTCGATACAGTAAGGAGGTCAGAATATTGTTAGAATCAATAATGTCTGACGTACTGTAAGTCAATATCTTCTATAGTGGATCTCTACTGGCTTGTGCCCGGAGGTTTTACACAGTTGGGGTTTCTCCGTCAATATTTTGTTGTGTTTTTACTGCTTTCTGTTATTTATTTTTCAACCGATAATTCAACTTAGGTAGATAAAGTATGTGAATGAATCTAGGCAATGCATAATTGATGTGACTTGTTGCATCAGTTAATTAATTGTTTTAATTCCGCATAAACACCTATTCACCCCCCTCTAGGTGTTGGTTGGGTCGAACTATTACTTTTTCAAGTGGTATCAGAGCTAAATCTCGAGTCCTGACCCATAGTTGTCTAGATGAGTCAATCACTTTCTGTACCTCCGTATTTTGACGGAAGTAATTATGCCTATTGGAAGGTTAGAATGCGTGCGTTTCTTAAGTCTTTGGATGAGCATGTTTGGGTAAGTGTGCAAAATGGTTGGAAACCTCCCTCTACTGTCGTATCAGGAACTGTTAACCTTACCGACATATCATTATGGACTAAGGATGAAATAGCTGAGTGTAATTGAAATAGCAAGGGTCTTCATGCCCTATTTATGGCCGTGTCTCCCGAAGAGTTTATGAGAGTGTCAATGTGTGAAACTGCTAAAGAGGTTTAGGACATTCTTGAAACCACCCATGAGGGAACTAAAACGGTAAAGAACTCTAAGTTACAAATGCTAAATTCTGGGTTTGAAGAAGTGAGAATGAAGGATGATGAAACGTTTGACGAATTCTATGCTAAATTGAATGACATTGTTAACTCTAGCTTCAATCTAGGCGAGAAAATTCCCGAGTCTAAAATTGTGAGAAAAGTGCTTAGGTCCCTGCCGGAGAGATTTAGATCTAAAGTCACTGCCATTGAGGAAAGTAAGGACCTAGATGAAGTTAAAATTGAAGAACTGGTAGGATCGTTGCAAACTTATGAACTCACTATTACACAACCTAAGAAAGGAAAGTCCATAGCCCTAAAATCCATCAAAGAAGATGAATCTTCTAATACTGAGTCACTTAGGGACGAGGAAATCGCATACTTTGTTAAGAAATTTCAAAAAGTTCTTAAGAATAAGAGAAAGTCTCAGGATAAAAAGAGTGGAGCTCCTAGCAGATTCACAAAAGCAAAAACTGAAACGTTCAACAATAAAGGGTCGAGTGATAAACCACGTTTGGTTAGGTGCCATGAGTGTCAAGGTATAGGTCACTGTAGGAATGAATGCCCTAGTTATAAGAAGAACCAAAGAAAAGGGAAAGGTAGGGCCTTAGTTGTCTCACTTACAGATAATGAATCTGAGACCAGTGATAGACAGGAATCTTCTAGTAGTGAGGACGAAGGAAACTATATGGCATTTGTATCAACTGTTAAGAGTGAATCTGATAAGGAGAGTGACAAGGTTGAGGAAGAACTTCCAAACGATAATTCTAGTAATGAGGAAGAGGATGACATAGACATACAAGAAGCTTATCAACCTTTATTTAAAGAGAGTCTTAAAATAAAAAAGGTCAATAAAGCCCTACTCAAAAAGGTTGATGAACTTGAGAGAGAAAAGAGAAACTTGCTAGTAATCTTCAGAATTCACTTAAGAGTGGCAGTGAGTTAAAGTGTGTCAATGAGAAGTTAGAAGACAAGATTAAGACTTTGACTAGTGAATTGGTGAAATCTAATGCTCATCTTTAGACTTTCGTAAGTGGGACTAAGAAATTGGACAATATTTTGGAAATGAATAAGCCTGCAGGAGATAGGAAGGGTCTAGGATATGTTGAGGGTAATACACATGTTGCTGGACCTTCTAAGACTGTTTTTGTTTCTGCCTCTAAGAAAGTTAATGCTGTTAGTAGTTTAAATAAGGGTAAGAATGTTCTGAGAGAATAGAGTCATCAATCACATAGGAATTTCATACCCAGAT